AAAATATTGACCACGCCTACTTTTACGCCCACTATCTTGATTTATCTAAAATCTTTATATTTGCCAGATAATGAAGATATCGGTTTGAAAATTATTACACGAGATACTGTTGACTTTCCCTCCAAACTAAGGAATTTATTTGGGCGCCAGGGAACTGACTACGCATACTTCTAATCTGTCCATGTATAAGGAAGTTGTGTTAGTTACTACGCTTATAACTCAAGAACCGCTGATCTGATTTTAACGATTTACACAAATTCGGAATTATCTTTTGGCAGAAAAGGATAAAATCCAAAAAAATCGCGTAAAAATGTGAAATTTTAAAATTTTCATTTTGACTTTTGAAGTGTACAATAGTAATGTTTTATTTTGCGTGATTTTTTTTTTATTTTGACTTACTATTTCGAAATGTACATTTGTAGTGTTTTTTTTTTTTTTTTTTTTTTTTTTTTTTTTTGGAATTCTAATATGATGTGTAGTCTTTTTGGGTAGTAGAAAGCGACGAAAATTATGGAATGGCGGAACTGAATAGATGATGTCAAAATAATTTAACGTGGTCAAACCTAAATTGCTAAAAATCAAAAAAGAGCATATTGCACTGCAAAAACTCTAAAATAGGGAAAAACTGAGAATATTTTTTCAATGGAATCAAATTTCAAAATAATAATAAGGACCAAACTTCATAAGGACCTTTAAATATTGGCTGTAAAAAACCAGCGAACAAGTTGAAGATTTTTTTCAATTTTTTTATTAGTTGCTTATAACTCAAGAACGTTTTGACGGATTTTCACAATTCATACAACTTCGGAATGGAATCTTGCAAAAAAAAATTGCGTAAAATATGCCAATAAAAATATAAAAGAAGAAATCCTTTTGGCGTGAATTTTTTTCAATTTCACAACTATATAGATGTGTACATTTTTTATTGTTTTGAATTCAGAATGAATAATATCAAAAATGAAATAGTACGCAGTAAGATGTTAAATGGCGATCTTTCATGTCTGTCATTTAGCTTTCAACTCCAGAATCTACATCGTGCTTCAGCTGGAAGATGCGAACACATTTAAATAAACAAAAATAACCGACAAAACGTTATGGGGCTCATTTCAACACGTGGACCTACCTACTTCTATCATATGACAATAATCCGTCCAATGAGAACTTAATATGCAAAATTCATTGGGACTGCAATCAGTGAAATATCGAATATAAAGGGAAAATGATTTCTATTCATTCAGAAATTCTTCCTAAACTTTCACGATACCTTAAATCACTTTTGTAGTTCATGATATGGGCCAAAACCCCCGGATAAGGATACTACCCGATTTCAAGTATATCTTACATTTTCATATTTCATATTTTTATACTAATTTCGGCAAATGTTGGTAATTTGGGAAAAAAAAAAACCATCCATGCAAAAACTGATCACGTTTTGTATAACCATCATATGATTTAAGGAACCGGACATTAGTTTAATCGTCTTTGAATTATGCTATGATAAAATATATGGAAATTATGGGGTCTCCAACGCGCAATTTCAATGACAAATAATTCATATTACTTTAAAAACAAGTAAAAAATTAAGTTCGGCCGGGCAGAATTATTACTATCATCCATCTGAGGGTAAAGGAAACATTTTTATATAAAAGTATCTAAATTCAAGCGTGTTCCACTTTAAACTTCATATACCAGTAAGACTATTTGGATAATGCAGTTAACTTATCAAAAAACCATAAAGTGAATGAGGCCGTTATATGGGGCCATACCAAAACGGGAACCTCTGTGGACAATTTTATACTTCAAGGATTGTCATTTATCAAACCTTCTAAAATACCAAATTTGAAACAATTATACGCGTAAATGTGTGGATTATCAACATACCCAATATAGCAAAAATCATCAAAATACCGAATTTCGAGAGATACCGTTATATGAGGACTATACCAAAACGTGAACCGATAGATCATTTTCAATACCAACCATCCTATACACAATACAAATTTTTCAGCTAAATTTGGGCTGTATCGTTATTTAAACAAACAGACATACAGACTGACAAATCGACTTAGAGTTTTATGCTGATTATGAATATATATGCATATTTAATGGGGTCTATGACGAACATTTAGTGATGCTACAAATGGAATGAAAAGTTAATATACCCTCCTTTCCAAGGTGGATGATATAATAGCATTAAAGACTAAAATTACGGGCCGGCAACGCGGACCGGGCCAGCTAGTTTTGTTATATAATCTTAAAGCTATTTAAGTTTTAATTTCCAGTAAATTGAAGAAAAACATTTAAGACGAGTTGTAGGAAGTTTGTTATTGTCGAAAGGATGCCATTCTAAGGAAGAAGAAAAATATAATCGGTGAATGTTTTTGTTAGCAAAATGAAGTTTTAATAAACAAAATGGTTTGGTTTTAATAAATAAATTTGACAATTGATAAAAAAATAGACATATGTGGACTAACAGTATATATAGTATTGACATAATAACATCATGATTATCGAAATGTTGTTGCTGCGTTTATTGTTATCGGAAACTTATAGCAAATATAGCATAGTAATTACGAGTTATGACTAATTAGTCGAATTTTTTATAGAACCAAAATAGTATTTTGAGTGGATAGAGTCACTCTCTGCAAAATTTGGTGAAGATGAGGCTACTTCCTAGTTTCAAGTAACAGAAAAACAGAAAACTAGATCAAAGTACATTCACTGCATAAAACAAAAACGTGAAAATAAAATTTAATATTTTTAGGTTTTTCTTATCCATATACTTTTCGAATATGGGGAAAGTATGGACATATTTTGATATAATTTTTTTAAAAACTGTTAAAGCACTATTAAAGATATTCTTTATATAAAATACTCATAACAACCTGTAATCTATGTTTTCATTTTGAAATGATGACTTTTGATGAGAACAACTACTAATATATTAAACTTAACCAATAAAAAAGAAAAGGAAGAAACTTAAAAAATATCCAAAAAAAAAAAAAAAAAAATAACCGCTATATGGGGGCTATACGAAGACGTGGTCCTGCATAAGTAATTTGTGTCATAGGCTGTAGTAACGGTTCCAGGGGGTAAAGTAGTCACGAAGAACACCTTGGGTAGAATTTCAGACAATTTAATTGAAACATGTGGCTAAAATCATCAAAATACCGAATATCGGAGGGTACCGTTATACGGGTCTATAGGAGATCGTGGACCTATAAAGACTATTCTCTGTCAGGGGATAAAGTACTCATAAAGAACAATTTCAGACAATTTCATAGAAAAATTTGGCTAAAATCATCAAAATACCGAATATCGGAGGGTACCGTTATACGGGTCTATAGGAGATCGTGGACCTATAAAGACTATTCTCTGTCAGGTTCTCAGTCAGTCAGTTATTTTACTACTTTTTATATGTATAGATAAACGAAATCTGAGTGATAGTAAAATATTTCCTTTTAAAATTGTGTTCTATACATCTTCAAAGACCTATTTCGTCTCAAAATGGATAAAATTGGTCCATACATGAATTCGGACATTTTGTAAACAATTTTCAAAAGAAAAGAATAGAACACACAACTAAATTCAGCTTGTTGATCTTTGGGAATGAAAAAATGAGAGTTGGATGATATGGCTATATGAAATAGTTGCCTAATCTAGATTTTTTTTTACACGAAGAGTATTTACCTACTCACAACAAGTATCAAAAACACATATTCTGGTTTGAAATTATGGTGGAAACAATAAAAATAACGAAAACAGGAAGTACTGCTATATGGGAAATATTTTTAAAATAATTTTTCCATCTTCTATGAACATTTTGTAGTCCAGTAGTCTTTGCTACAAAGCTTGAATAGAGATTATATACTTCTACAAGGATTACAGGAGTCCTCCTATTTTCGAATACAGGCATAAAGATTTTTTAAACGTCGATCATGTAACCATAAATCACCTTTTAAGCATGTCACAGTTTTAAAAGATAAGAACCGAACCTACTGCCGAGATTCTCTGTTTTCGATTTCAAATGCGTACATGGAATAATAATCATTTATAAAGAAAATACTTAATACTTTAATTCATTCCCACATTTGAATTCCATCTTCTAATGGACACTTTTTCCAATAACGAGGTTATCATTCATATCTACTTAACTCGAATGTGCAACATAAATGACAAATTTTGAATTGTCGCTCACTAGCCGTCTGTCTATCTTTCAGCAAGAAAGAAAGACACTTGCGACTAATTTGTTGCCAACTTCGTTTTGTGCCGTTTCATAATTGGCTCGATATGCGTCAATGTGTCAAAATGTCACACACAGGCTTTCGTTGTTTTTGTGTGTTTGCACCATTATGTATTCTCTCACAAATAGCCGCACAATGTGTCTCTGAATCTCAATGTCCTTACATTCGGAGCACAGTTATTGACATTTGTATCCGTTTAACGCTGCTGCTTTTGCTGCCATTGTTTGTTGTCATCATTTTTTTGTGTTTGTCGTCGTCATTGTATGTATACGCCGATAGTGTGTGTGCATGTAATTTTACATATTCAAGAATATACAGCTAGTGTGCCCGTAAATATTGCATCGGAAGAAAGGTAGAGAGAAAATAAGCTTATGTTTGTCTTCTGTTCTTTTTTCTTGAGAGAAAGAAATAAAGAAAGGATAACGTAAACAAAAAGACAAACAAATCACATGAAATTATTGTTTTGATAACTGAACAAGAACACGCCTGACACTTCGACACCCATAAGCGTATGAGTAATATTATCTTACTCAAGTGTTGAGCACTCATACGTCGAGGTCTGGTAGATGAAAGGATTCACTTTTCTTGACAATTGTGACAGGTTTAGTAAAGGTAGAGGAGAGAGAGAGCATGTAAAGAAACATTGAACAAAAATTACTTGTTCGCATTTATTTATAAAAGAAAGCTGTAAAGTTGTGTCTCAATTTAAAAAAAAAATATATATATAAATATTTATTTTATAAGAGTTTTACTTACTATGATATAATCAAATGTTGACAGTCAAAAATGGTCTGAAAAGAAAATTAAAAAAAAATAATAATCAGTAAATTTCCTTTGCCAGGTATTGTATTACTTAAACACGTTGTGCTATAATTTTTTTATTTCCTTTAAATGTATCAAAGGAAGGGTCTATCCAAACACATATAATAATTTGGGTGGATGAAAAATTACTAAAGAAACTTTTGCGGCATTACCATTCTCCATTTCGTTGCCGAAGTCTCCTCAGTCAGCGTTACCCTACCCATTACTTATTGTGTTTTCACTGTCTAAAAAATCTGCTTAAGTGGATTTTAATTACTAATTTACAAAAGTGGCTAAATGGCTTTATCTTTTTCCCAAGACAATTATGGAAATATGATATTTTTTTAAACAACAGAGCAAACCACCCATAAAGCACCAAAAACAATTTTATTCATTTCCAATTTAATTAGTGGGAATCAAGAACCATAGGCGATAACAGTTAAAAACACACCCACCCGTAGAGCACAATGACAAATGACATCATTTAATTAACATCAAAATGTCTTAAATATAAAACGACAGGCCATAATAAATACAACTTGATTTGCATACATTGTTTCAATATATTTATTTATTTTATTTATTTATTTTTTATACCCTACAACACTATGTGTTGGGGGTATTATAAGTTTGATTGGGCCAGAATTTATGTAACACCTCGAAATATTGGTTTCCCATATAGGAAAGTATATATGGATCTTCCTAGCTCGCCGAGCTGAGTCGATCTAGCTATGTATGTCCGTCCGTCCGTCTGTCCGTCTGTCCATGTTAATTTGTAATCACTCTACAGGTCGCAATTATGGCCCGATCTTCACGAAATTTAGAATGTAGGTGGGGTTAAGGTCAGAATAGAACCCTATTTCTTTTGGAGATGATCGCATAAAATTTAGGGGTTGAAATGGACCAAAAACTGCAGTTGCTCTACAGGTCGCAATTATAGACCAATCGACGCGGAATTGCGCATGTAGCTAGAGTTTAGGGCGGGGAAGAAGCCTACCAATTTGGGTGGTCATCGGATAATATTTAGCGGGTAAAATATACCATATCTTTTGTGTTGAAAAAATTCAACATTTTTCATTAAACCGCGAATATTTTAAATCCCGGCGAAATCACGAAGCCATGACAAGGTTACTTCTGACCTTTACATTGATGTTAACATCCAACAAATCGAATATATAGCAAAATATGTGCGATATATATGTCTATCAAAGAATATATGCTTGAAAGATCTCTTATATATCGAGAACGGCTGAACTGATTTCGACAGTTCTCATTAATTCAGAATGGCCTCTTGGCAGGGAAGAAAAAACGTCTAAAAAATCGCATAAAAATATCTCTCTAAAGATGAAAATATTGATTTTGAACATTTTCTTCAAATTGGGTGAAAATTGGTTCAGATATTCTCATACAACTCAGAAATGTCTCTGCAAATTTTATCGACATCATTCAGATTTGGATATAGTTTCCACACACATCTTTATCCGATTTCACGTTTATTGTGCACCACAAATGGAGTGGGTTTCGGCACAAGCAAAAACTACATTTGATAGAACTCGGTCATTATATATATTATATCTACTACGTTACTAACAAGTAAAAAAAATCACATTTTTAAGAAGTGTTGTGACTTTCTGGTCAAGAATTTATGATTTAAAAACATATTTTTCAAAAATTCCACTTTTTTTAAATTAATGTGCAAATGAAGTCTTTGAAAGAGAGGAACTGAAAAATATTCTTTAAAATTCAAAAATCGCTCAAGGGAGTCTAATGTTATTCAAGATCTTTTAGAGCAAAAATTGTAGACTGTTTAGTAAAAAGAAGTAAAAGAACGTTAAGTTTGGATTGTATGAACTTTCATTCAAACTTACGGCAAAGGTAACACTTAAATATTAAAAAAATGGTATTCCATATCCAAACTATTACTACATTCAAGCTTCCAAATTTATTCTGTCAAAATTGGGTGCGGATCAAATCAAAAAGTATGCCGATTGAATCCAATACCTTTCATATTGTGTTTTCATTTTCAGAGTATGATCGAATAAGCATTAATAAAAGTTGTCACTTTTCCACTCACTTTTTTATACCCTCCACCTTACATAGTATGGAGGGTATATTAGGTTAATCATTCTGTTTGGAACTAATCGAAATAATAATTTTAGACCTACCAAAGTATATAAATTCTTGATCATCGTAAAATTCTAAGTCGATTTAGCCATGTCCGTCAGACCATCTGTCCGTCTGTTGGAATCAAAAATTCCACACGAGAGTCTAAAAGAAATAAGCTAGGTAGCTTTTACACAGACCAGTCTCTTGTCTGCAGAATGATTAAGTTCAAGCTATATCGGTCCCCATATAACGGTACCTCCCATTATTTCATGTTTTGATGATTTAAACCACATTTTTCAATGGAATTTTCTGAAATTCCACACAAGGAGTTCCATTCTTAGCACTTTATCCCCTTTCAGAGAACATCGATATCGTATATCTCGCATACGACGGTATCCTCAGATATTCGGTATTTTTATAGTTTTAGCGACATTTTTACCGAAATTATTTTAAAATTCATATTTAAAGTTCGTAATGGGTACTACAGCCTTTGAGAAAAAATTGTGCTTGCAGACCCATGTTTTCGTATAGCCCCTATATTAGGGACATTATTCACCCGAATTGCTTCAAATTTGATTTTTGAAACTCGTAATGGGTACTTTAATCTAAAAAAATTGTCTATGTAGTCCACGTCTTCAGCCGACAGTGGGTCCGGATCGGCACCTGCCTTTATTCGGTATTTTTATGATATTAGCGACTTTATTCACATGAATTGTTTGAAAATTCGCATTTAAATTTAATAATGGGTACTACAGCCGATGACAAAAATTAATTATGCAGAACCACGTCTCCATACAGCCCCATTATATAACGGGTTTCCTTTGAGCGGTTTTTTCGACGGAATTTTTTGAAAAATTTTCAAGTTCCTTCAAAATGGTGGAGGGTATTAAAAGTTCGACCTGGGCGAACTTAGCTGCTGTTTTAGTTGTTAATATGTATATTTTTGATATCAAATGCGGTCCAGGAACGCATCATTAGGTGTTCTTTGCAAGTGAGTACAATCAAAAATGAATTATATCCCTATAGAAACGCAGGTCAATTAAAGCTTCTTTCTCAATTGCGTTTGTGCGTTTCAGTCAACTAAAATAAAACATATATTTGTACACGAACGCTGGTTGACAATATTTTTTCAACAATATATTTTTATTTAAAAGTATACTTACTCTAGACATGGGTGTTTAAACTAAACGAACAAAGTCTTTCAACTATCGAAGTATTTGCAGAAAATGTTTTTTAACTAACATCCAACTTCGATAAACTCTTTCAAGAAATTCAAAAGAAAACTTTGTTATTGCAATCATACAAAGGAACAAATATACTCAGACAGTTGCACAAAGACAACTGTATACAAGTGTACATACATACATGTGTCGTCGAGGAACATTCATATCAACATGTCTGAATTATTGTCGTGACTTGTTTCAAGGAGGGTTGAGAATGCAAAGGTTGGAGGATGGATGGTTGAATAGATACATTCATATGTCAAGTGAACTAACTTGCTTGTACATAAAAAGAAATCTAGTTTCCACACATCCTCCGCTGGGAATCGAAGTGGAATTCCTTTTTTTTTTTTTTGAAAAATTTTGCTGATGTCAAGACATCTGGAGGTGGCATTGTTGTTACTGTTGTTGATGTTATGGTGTCAATTCGTTACTTTATTCATGCTGCAATTTCTACCACACCCCAACTAGCTTTGCAATCAGTATATTCTGGTGAATGCTGTTTAGAAATGGATTTCAAATGTTTTCTTGCAGTGCTGTATCTCTGCTTCTTGTTTTGCCACTGAACGTCTTTCCCCCAATGAGTATTACTATAAAAACGTTGGTGGCTACAGAAGTTCTTTTTTTTCGTAATTTTTAGTTTTACTGTCGTTGGCAGTATTGCCACAATGATATTATTCGTTCTGGTGTAGCATTTAATATTTTAATTTTAATTGCCTGAAATCACGATTTTTATTATTCTGGACATTACCCATTGCGTACGTATTGTCCACTGTGATTCCATATGTTATTTGTCCCCAATTAAAATTTATTTACAAAAAAAGCCTATTTATTCGTGATTTAGCTTCTAGTTTTTAAAAATTGTAATATTTTCATTGGTTTATTAAGACTTTCTGTAGTTTTTCCAATAAATTTCCCATTAAATAATAAAACTTTAAACGTATACGGCAACACTGGACATTATTTTTCTTTGTTATCGTTTTTCCCTTCATTCTTTTATTCTTTGTATGACAGTAATCAGATATTTCCAAATTATTAATGCACATTAGAGTGCATTGTAGGTGGGTGTGTCATGTTGATTTCGCTTTGTTGTGACGCAGACAAGTGCTTTAGGTAACAGTCTGAATGGCCAAATGCATTAGGAGATTTTGATACAAATTTCGGCAGATCCTTAAACAATAAAAAAGTAAATTTTCGTAAATTTCGTGCAGTTCTAAAATTATTATTTCGATGAGTTACAAACGGAATGACGAACTTGATATACCCTCCATGCTATGTATGGTGGAGGATATAAAAACTGCATCCAATTTCAGGCTGCTGTCATTTCTAAGCCACTCGTCCGACAGCTGTTAAAATGATTCCAATGACAGCTTATTATATTTTTTACAAGGGTACAAAAGCATTTTGGTGAAAATTTTCCAGAAAAAAAAAATTTATTCGTGATGGAGTTCAAGCGTGATAGTGTGAGTTTTTATATTTGGCTGTGGCTATCATTAGAGCACTCCAGCATTTAAATGAGAATAAATCTTTTGTGTCTCGTACCTTCGCTCGTTACTGTGATAGTGGTAGCGTAGCCCAACCTCAAGGAAGTGGACGGAAGAAAACAGCAACATCAGCAGAAATGGTTCGAAAAGTAAAGAAGCGACTTGGTCGAAACACGCATC